AAGTTTCATTTCGATCAATTCAACATCAGCCCAATCAATCGGCTGATAATAAATAAAATCGTGTTATCAAACAAAAAATAATATATGATAAAACTATTGCTAATAATGTTAATACTGATCAACATCTGAAACTTTTTTTTTTCAATACGAAATTAATCTTTCTCGTACATTTCTTGTAACTAACCTTATTAATTGTGTGTGTTGATTTTAAATTCAATAAAAATAGAAAAAAAATCATTATTCAAACAAATTTCAATCTTTTCCTTTTTCTAATCGAATTCATCACGAATATACACCAAACAAGTCATTGTCAACTCGTATAATTGTTGCTGAATAAGACAATAGAACATCAATCACATTACAATATTATATGAACGAGTTTTCACAGGTTTTCGTGGGCGAAAATAGTGACACCTTTATGATACTCATTTTTCTTCATCATCAAATAGTCTCAGTGCTTCTTATGGATATAATATATTTCACTGAATATTAGAAAGAGAGAGTAGGATAGAATATTAATCAGACAACACTAGGTGGTGATAGAATTTAAAGACACGTTATTACAAGTTTAAATAGCCCTAGAAATGTGAAATTTGATCCCATGAGTAAGATCAAGGATTTATGATTGAGCAAATTAAAAGTACAAAAATCATAGGTATCGGTGTCGCGGATGTGAGTCTCACTGTGATGGATTCTGTTATTATAGTAAGAGATGATGGTGATTTAAATGTATATGTGACAGATAAGTGTGGTCATTAGATATTAAAATATATGCCCTATTAAATAAATATTTAATTCTTCCAAGAAATCAGTATAGAAACTGTCATTATCTTGTATTTTTTGTCTTACATTACTGTTGATTACCAAATAATTGTTATATTTTGTTTTAGTTGAATGATTCATTTTAATTCACTTGTAAAATTGAAAAACTATTTTCTACTTATCAAAAAATAAATCGAACAAGATCATATTAATTAGAATTTCAATAATTGACACCACCAAAATGTAAATCAGATCTTCTTTTACTGTGAACATTTTTAAATGTTGATTAAAATAGCGAATGATAGATATCACTGCATGAGACAAATATGCTTACAATTTATTATTCACTTTTATGACTTAATTTTGTCATTCTTCTTCCTACTTCGTTATGAATTTTATATCGAATGTTTTTTTCATGACATTCACTCATCCATGTCTATTTCATTTGCTTTTATAAAGAGAAAAGAAAGCATTATTTATAATATTTTATATAATCACATTTATTATATAGAAAAACAAAACAAATGGATAAAATATCTGAACTGTCTGACCAAAATGATAATACATATGATAATGAATCGATAAGATTGAACAATATGAATTTCTCATGGTCATTAATTAACGTGCTTATAGATTCAAAGAAACGTTACGCTTCAAAATTAAAACTTATGAAACACTTGCTACTTTCGTTCCATCTTCAATTATTGGTTATATCTATTATGTGCGTTGTTTGTATTGGTTATGGGTTTATAATCAGAGGAAGCCAAGAAAGCCCAGGCCTGCTAAACAAACTTCTCATCATTCAGGGTTTATTTGGTCTTTCCATTGTATTAATTCATGCATGTACAATTGTTATCCAGTAAGTAAATCTTCTGCATAATATTTCTAATAATTTGAGTGACTATAAATATCTTATTTACATAGTTATTAGTGTCAATAAAACGATCAATATAAGGAGCATATTAATGAAAAACCATAAATTTAACTCATAAAACAAAATAAGAAAATAAGTTTTATAGATAATTAGTTTAGTTAAGTATGAAAACAGTAAATCGAGATAAATGGAAAAATGAAGAGAAATTTTTAATAGATATTTCAGGAATAAATAAAAAGTATGATACTGCAAATAAAGCGAATGCACAATCGAGATGGATCTTGCCTATGATGATCTGTCTTTACTTGTTTTTTTCTTTCGTCGCTATTCTATTTGTGTAGATATATTTGATCATTTTGTTGTCATGTGAATGAAACATTATTGTATTAAAATGTTTTGATTTAAGTTCAAACTAAGATCTGATTTATCGAAGTCTTTATAAAACTGAATGTATTTACATAAACTTTTCAAAGACGAATCTTTAATGATAATTGCATTTTTTATAAATTTTTATATTCAACTTGATACTATTTCAAATGCGAAAGAGAGAAATTCTGGAATCCCAGAGAATCTTTGGAAAACTTAAGAGTCTTGATGAATCTTAGAGAATCAAACAAAAACTTACGAAATCATACAGAATGCTAGAATGTTTTATAGGATCTTAAAATCCTTAGTCTAAACGCCTATGTATATACTGCTATTTTTAGCAAGCCTGTTAAAACAAATCAACAACTAATAAAAAAAATCTAATAATATCATTCGTAATTTTATGATCGTGAGTCGTTTTTAGATATTTTGAAATTACAAATTCATTACTACTACGGAAGGAAAAAGATACAGAACACAAAGTCGTTAAAAAAAGTGTATCACTAAAATGTATATGTATCAAAAACGTATACAGTGAATACATAGAATGGTGTTGGAGTGGGTGTAATGTGAAACCCACACTTACCCTTTGTTTTAATTGAAAAATTCATTTCAATTCACTTTCAAAACTGAAAAAGTATTCCTTACTTATCAAAAAATATATCGAATAAGATCATATTAACTAGAGTTTCAATCATTGACATCGTCAAAATAAAAATTAGATCCAATAACATCATCTTTATTTATTCTAGAAACTTTTAAATATTGATCAAAACAGAGAATGATAAATATCTGTACATAAGACAAATATGCTTATAATTTAATATTCACTATTATAACTTAATTTTATCGTTCTTCTTCCTACTTCGTTATGACTTTTATATCGAATGTATTTTCATGACATTCATTCATCCATGTCTATTTCATTTGCTTTTATAAAGAGAAAAGAAAGCATTATTTATAATATTTTATATAATCACATTTATTATATAGAAAAACAAAACAAATGGATAAAATATCTGAACTGTCTGATCAAAATGATAAGACATATGATGATGAATCGGCAAGATTGAACAATCTGAATTTTCCATGGCCATTAATTAACTTGCTTATAGATTCGAAGAAACATTATGCATCAAAATTAAAATTTATCAAACACTTGCTACTTTCATTACGTCTTCAATTATTGGTTATATCTATAATATGTGTTGTTTGTATTGCATACAGTATAGGCTTCGTCAATGATTATCCTGATTTCTCGAAGTTCTTTGATTTTTTCCTTATTCAAGGTTTATCTGGTCTTTTTGTTGTGTTACTTCATGTATGTGCAATTGTTCTCCAGTAAGTAAATCTTTTAAAATAATATTCTAAATGATTGTAAATGTTCAGTGTACATACTTATTATTCATTGGAATGAGATTCATATTGGCATATTTTTTTATTTATTTCTACAGTTTAATGCCAACACCAATGACGCATTTCTCATCCAGCGAACGCTATGCTATTCAGTATTTCATAGCTTTTATTCATTCGATTACCATTTTGTGTATCATTTGGTTTTTAGTTGGTCATATTTATTTTGTTAACGAGATTATAGATTATTACTTTTCACATGATGTATATAAGCAAGCAATGCCCGCATTTATAATAATAATGTTTATAATTCAATTTATTGTTGGTATTTGGTTACTCTGCTCTTGTATATGGAATAATTCAAGCGTTTCACAGCATCTTACTGAGAAAACTAACACCCAATCATCTATGGACAATAAATATATCATTATAAAGCGACCAATAATATGTGAGAAAACGAGCAATGAAAATATGACTCTCGATCAATGTTTGATACATCTCTGATTTAAATAACTAAGCGTTCTTTTTTTTGAAAAGATTCTGTATCAATTAAAAACGAATCTTTCTTTTATAATTCTTCTAACTAATCCTCATAGTTAGTTTTGTTAACTTTTAAATTAAATAGATACAAAATATATTCATTGTTATGTTTAACTATCTGTAAATTATGCATCTCTTTATAATGAATTGTAATATAATTTCTAATGCATATTAGTCTTTTCATAATACAGAGATAAAAAACAACAAATACTTTCAATTTGATGAAATGTAACATACAATTAAAGAAATAAATAACTTTACTTTTACATATTCTATAACTGATGCAGTCAAGACTTCATGTGAACCTTGAAGGTAGCATGACGGCGGATAAGTATTTGTTCTTTAATTATCCACTCTCTCGCTCATATCCATAACCTACTAGACGATTGAACTCATCAGATAAGCTTTGTGATTAAATAATAATGTCATAGAATTAAAGTTAGATTCAAAACTAATCTTTTCTAATTGAATATTTTTATAAATTATTCTATATAAATAATTATAATTTTTAACTAAATTTACAAATGAATTTCGTCCATTTGTTTGTTCTTAAGCTTGTATAATAATTCATCTATTATATAAAGAAATTGTTTAAAATTTAATCTATCAAAAAAGAAAAGAACAATAAGAAAAACAATTGTTTATAACCACAATTTAAACCATGTATTACTACATTCAATTCGAAAAATATCAGTAGATTTTATTTGAAAACAATTTTGTTCAATAAACCATTGTCGAATATGAGAATTAACCATATCATTAGGAATTTTACCGTAGATGTGTAATATAACAAGTTGTCGAAATTGATTTATAACAAATTTAATTAAATTTGATTCAATATATTCATTAGATTCTTCATGATCGATTGTTAAATTTCTAACTTGAGTAAATATTCGTCCAATAAGATGAATCTTTTCAGTAGTTAATTGATTTGTTTCATTATTATCTGATATACGTATACAAAGATCACGAATATGTTTATGAAAAAGAACATATAATATAAGTGATTGATTTTCATCTTCAAGTATAGTTAATAAACAATTTAAATCAATAACTAATACAGATAAATTTGGTGCAGCAAGAAATAATTCTTTTAAATAATGTAAATTCGATGGAATACCTTCAATTGTTAATATTTCAAGACGATTAAGGTATGGAAGTTTCATAAGTTGTTGATTGTTATCAGCTATAAACAAAATATATATATAGTCTATATAAAATTTTAATTAGTAGTGAATTAATTAATTTAGAAAACTAACATCGATATACTAACGAAAGAACCTCTCGAGGTGATAAAACGCTTTAAGGCTCAGTCTACTTTTATCTAGTAAACCCTAGTGGGTAGTGAAATATCCTAAGTTGGTTCGTCCCCTTATTGCTTTGGGAGTGAGCTAGGACCAATTTACTATTTTCTGACATATGACAGTACATGAGTAGCAGTAGTAAATGAGTGACTTTGAATCTAAAATTTTGTCTATAAAGAGGTCTTATGAATACTAAAATACCCTGACAGTTTCAGGCAAAATAAGTGAACCCTTCTTGAGATTGTGAATTGTCAAAAAACAACTGTTTCCGAAGATAAGTCTTCAGTAGGTGAAACAAATACTCGATTTTTGACAATTCACAATCTCAAGAAGGGTTCACTTATTTTGCCTGAAACTGTCAGGGTATTTTAGTATTCATAAGACCTCTTTATAGACAAAATTTCAGATTCAAAGTCACTCATTTACTACTGCTACTCATGTACTGTCATATGTCAGAAAATAGTAAATTGATCCTAGCTCACTCCCAAAGCAATAAGAGGACGAACCAACTTAGGATATTTCACTACTCACTAGGATCTACTAGATAAAAATAGTCTGAGCCTTAAAGCTTTTTATCACCTCGAGAGGTACCCTCGTAAGTAAATCAAACTAATTATAAAGAAACACAAGGATATAATATCTCATCATATTTATCATAATAGAAATATTTGTAGAAGGTTTCTGTCGTGCGATAGTAACTCGTTCCTATAGCTAATGAAAATATAAGCGACAGT